ATATATATATATATGTGTGTGTGTGTGTGTGTGTGTGTGTGTGTGTGTGTGTGTGTGTGTGTGTGTGTGTGTGTGTGTGTGTGTGTGTGTGTGTGTATATGTATGTATGTATATATATTTATTCCTTAGATGTTCACGATAAGGTTGAAGGATCGATAACAGATATCGAGAAGGCTTACGCCGAGGTGTTGAAAAATATCTCGCGAAAAGCGCCCGAATTGACAGTGAACAATGCCGATGTAGCATTAAATCCTTATTTATCCTTGGCAAAAAAGCAACTGAAACAAATTTATATTCCGAAGGGAATGATCCCTTCGGCGACTAACGACAGAGCGGAAAATTCACATTCCGATGTTGAGCCTACATTTACATTACCTACTTCAAACAGCAAGAAATCGAAAAGATTACTTAAGAAATATTTGCAATTAAATCGTACCGCCACAACTCCACGATTCTCATCGGATGAAGAATCAAATTTCGACGAGGAATCTGCTAATAATAAACTAAGCACGCCTGCATTATTCGAGGTTTCCAACGGAATAACGAAGGTGAAGAACGGATCATTATCTGTACCAACTTCAAATGTTTATTCCGATTCAACGAAGAATCCTAAAACCCGTCATGAATGGGACGTTAAAGATTCTTCAATTCAAACTATACCTCCATTAACTTCACAATTAAATAACAGTAACTTTAATAACATTATTAATGTAAATAATTTAAAAAATTTGAATGTTTCCAATTATGCGAATGCTGATCAATTACTGCCGAAGTACAACATAGTGCCAAGACCATTTTCCATATTACAATCGCCCAATTCATTTGTCATCACAAATGATGCACATAGAAAACCGAGCGTTTTACCAACGGATTTTAATCGTCAACAACAGATTGTCCGTTCTTCTGCAAACATTCTTCCATTGGTTCTTCCAACAGATTTATTTAATCCGCTCCCAACACGCCGTTATATTCCAATAAAGCGTATAAATCATCTCAATCCTGAAGGAAATTCAGCAACAATTGTTAGCACCGAAGCGAGTTTGCCAACGAGTCCCATAGGGAAAAAGACTACCCTTACAGATTATGGAACTTTTTATACTGACGTAATTGCTACTACGAAGAGTCCTTTGGTCACCATTAACAATCAGCAAAGTCACGGCTCATCGGATTATTATGCCATTACTAAGAGCCCCACAGAACGGACTGTTACGAAGACGAACTTCGCGACGACTTATATACCCAATCAAACATCCTCTTTGAATACCGCTCAAGAACAGAAGGACTCTCAAATCGTTCGCAAGAAAGACTTCTTACCTACAATCAATAACTACAACAGTAATGAGAAATCGAGTTTAAATGAAAATCCTGAAATCGCGTTATATAAAAAATTCTCAAATTTATATTCAACTAACGTTCCTAATGTACTCAATACGCCAAAAGTAATTACTCAAGACTTTAAAGAAGTAGTGCAGCCATCGCAACAGCAAGTTTCCACTCTCCCTGACGCAACTTTAAAACCTCTTACTCCTACTTTGTTAAAAATCCGACCGATTGCTACCTCTAACCCTACACCGTATTACGATAGCAGATCATTCGTTTTGCAAGATGGAAAGCATAAGAAAAACAGCGATGAAAACGTCGGAACGAATGAGCAGTCTCGCGTCGAAGACGTTGACGTGACTGAAAAAGAAGATGACGATGTTGAAAATTTTAAAACTCAAGTCAATGAAAAAGCTTATAAAACGCCGAATAAACTGAACGAGAAAAAAGATCGCGAAGAAGAAGAGGAAGATCATTATCCGCAGCAAAACCGTAATTATCAAGACAAATATTATGAATATGATGAAAATGACAGAAGTAGTAAAAATGACGATAGACACGAAAAATATGAGAATGTTTGGCGTGAGAATAACGACGATGGAGAGGAAGATGAAACGGAAGAGGAAGAATATGATGACAACATCGACAAAAATAAAGATGAAGATAATGACGATAATCGTCAATACAATAAGTACAAATATGATAGAGATAATTCTGATGAGAAACAACGTGAAAATCCACGCCAAGAGAAATATAACAAACCAAAAAATCGTCGTGATAAACATGATGTTGATCATAAACATGATGTTGAGCGATTTGAAGACAAGAATAAGTATTTTGAATCACTATATAATGATGACGAAATTCATGAGCGGAATAAAGAATATCGCGATCGCTCAGATCAAAAGAAATTAATAGGCAATAACCAATATAAGAAGGATCGACAAGATCGCAAGTATAAAGAATTTGAAGATGAGAGCGATGCCAAAAACAAACCGTTTATTCAACGTTCTAAAGAGCTACGTTCTTATAAACAAAACGAAAGAGATGAAGAGGAACAAAGCAATGACGATGATAAGCAGAAATATCACAGTTATGCTTCTCCACGAAGAGACTCGCTTCGCGACAAGCATCCGAGTGAAGAATATAGTGAATCTAATCCTGCACACATACATGAGGAATATCATAATCAAAGGGTCAAGGATGATCATCGTGATGATCATCGCAGACATGATGGTGAAGAGCAGGATAATGGTAAAGAGGAAGCGCGTGATCATGTGCACGGTGAGACTCAGGAACATGCAGAAACCCATAAACATGAAGAACACGATGGAAAGAAGAAAGATATAGAAAATTACAAGTTTGAAAAAGGTGGCGGCGCAGAACATAAAGAAGAACACCATGGGCATGAGAAAGAGAAAGGCGACAAGGTAAATTGTCTTTTAAACATTGCGTTTGTTTATTAAGCTTTATTTACATTAAAAGAAAAGTCGTGACAATTATATGCAAGTTCTGTATTATCCCAGATAGCAAATTGTAGTCATTTTGACAATAACTAATCATTCTAGATTATTAATGTTATGTTATCTATTTAAAATGTATATTTAATGATGAATATCATCTTTTTGATCAATTAATAACGTCATTCATTTATTCATTTTACTACATATTTATGTCATATTTGTTGATGTCGGATAAATGAAGTATTAGTAAAAAAATTAATAATGTCATTAATTTATGCCGTTAATAAAATAATGACGTATTTTCAACAAAATATAGCGCAGCTGTGATAACTTTATATTATTTTTAGAATGATAATTTAAGATAATTTTATAGTTTAACAATTAATAATTGTAATTAATGCTTTAATGGATATAAATTCAATAATATATATAATTTCCGGACTAAAAGAGCCGAAAGCAAATTGAAAAACGCTAATTATTATTCAACATCCATATATGTAAAATACATAATCAAATGTTTCGACTTTGAATATGGTCCTCATCAGTGAATATATAATATCTACCTGTTCTTTTTGTTATTTTTAATATCTTCAAAAATCACAATCAACTATGTACACATAGTATGTCAAGCTTTTTGGACATAAGATCACTTTTTGCTTATTGTTATGCATAGAATTAATAAGTAGTAAGAACATTTCGCTAAATATATATGCTTTATCTTTTGGTTATTATGCTGACATTGTTCTGATAATTCGTTTCTTTCTGATAGAATTTGCCGATAGAATTTGCTATTTCTATTTTGAAAGATTGAAAATTGAGCAATACTTTTTCAAGATTAGCTTAATTTTCACTCTTTAGAGTGAAATTCTACTTTAAAGAATTTAGAATAATTGCTACCACTATGTTCTTGTCTGTGAATATAATTTTGGTAGTACAAATATAATAATGATTTTCTATTTCATAGGGGTATAAAGTCTGGCACGAACACGAGAAGGCTGAGAAGGGACATCACGATAAGGAGCATGCCAGCAAACACTATGATGAAAATGCTGGCGAGGAGAAGAAACACGAAGAAGAGGGTGGATATCACGAGGAACATAAGCATGGTGAAGGAGGCCAGAAGACAGCTGAATTTGGTGAAAAAGGCGAACACAAGAAGGGTCACAGTACCCATGGGGAACATTCCGTACATAAAAAGGTAACATATTGTATATAAATTATATATAAGTTACATAATTTCTTATTCAAATAGAACCTTAAAATTTTTATTAGAATTCTTTATATAATATAATTTTTCAGAATTTCTGAAAATTATACAGAATTTGTTTATAATTTTATAAATTTTTAGAAAATTTCTTTTTTAAACAAATTGGAATATTTTTTAGAAGTATTAAGAAAAAAAGTCTATATCTTTTCTAGAATTAAAAATATTTTAAGAGATTTCTAAAACTTCTTATTCTATAATTTCTAAAAGAAAACTTATAAAATCTGAAAAGTTTAAGATACTTTTTCGAAAATTTTTATAAAATATGACAAATTCTTAAAAATATTGTAATATATAATGAGAACTTTTTTTATCAGAAAAACGTTGCAATTATGGAATTATTTCATTACTGTTAATTTTACAGGACGAATATGAAAAGAAGACAGAGTTCTTTGATGAGTTTAACGAAGATGGTGGCATAGAGAAGCACGGCGAACACCATCACGATCATGAATCGAAGAAAGGCGGTCACGAGAAGAAGGGCCATCACGATAGTTCGGATCACGAGGAGAAATATGGCAAGGAGGGGAAGCACGAGAAAGGCGGTCATCATCACGAACACAAGGGCCATAAAGTCGACGAAGGCCATGACCATCATTACGATCATCATCATAAGCATGGCAAGAAGGAGGGGCACGAGCATGGGAAAAAGTGGAGTTTCAAAAAAGGCGATGGTGATGACCACAAGCATAATCGCTGAAGCGAAAGATGAGAGTAATAATTTTGCAGTCATCGTGATCATTATGTACCATACTTTAAGTCTATTTTTTTTATAGCTAAACTAGTATATGTATTTAAAGTGAAAAAGGTGAGTCGATTATAAGTATGTTTTAAAGTTTCATGAAGGTATTCCGCTCATAAAATTATAAAATATATTTATAGATTCATTCTGTATGTTTAAAATTTGGCGAAAGCAAGAAGGAAAGTTCTAGTGCAGTCTAAAGATAGAAAATAAATCTTTTTGATATTGCGAATTTGGAAAAGATCAATGTTGCGTTGATTAACGTTAACGTTGCGCGCGCGATCGTGTATAACCGACATGTTATATATATTATTTTAGGAGGCGGTGTTGTTGCCCGCCTGTGGTAGTATTACCTATATTGATCACTTACAATTGAGATATATGATATGCACTTTAGGTTACATTGTTATATATGTCTAGCTTCAGTTAAGCAAATATGAATAATTGAAACGTCACACTGACTATTAATTTAGACGGAAATAACCGATTGACCTCTGCATTGAATTTCCTGCAAATTTGTAAAATTCGTATTGTGGATAAATTTTTCTTATTCAGTGACAATTTATTTGTACATCACTCTCGCAATGTATTGGAAGAAAAACTGAGAAGAAGATTCGAAAAGCAGTTAATTACTATCTAGCAGATAAGAATATTAATGTTGAATATTAATGGATCGGTTTTATCAACGCGGATTGCTTGATTGATCGATTAACTTCGTCACCACAATGCCAATAGCACTTTAAAATTTGTTTAATTAATTCTAACCTATTCATCGTAAGGAAAAAGATTAGCAGATAATTAATTAGAAATATAAATTCGAGTACTTTTACATATTTTGTAATAGATTTATTGTCAAGAAATTATGTTAGAGTTGATAAGTTTTCAGTTTAGCAGTTGGCAATTCTTAAATTTAATCGGCGGATCAAGTAACTGGGCGTTGGTAAAATTGGCTCTTATTATTGGATTGTCCAAAAAGTTCGTGCCGATTTTGAAGGAAAATTGAAACGCAGAAGATTTAAATTTTAGTATACATTTATTAAATTAAAATTTTTTGCTGCACGAACTTTTCGGACAATCCAATATATTGTTTGTTAATTTTGTTTTATCTGTTATCATCAAGTTTCCCAATATTGTTATATATTAATATTTTCATATTAATAAAAAATGAATAAAACATGTTTCATTAAAAAATTGCAATTTGTATTTAAAAACGCATTTCATAAAATTAAATTTGTTAAGTTTGCTAAGAAGACATCAAACTCTTTAGAATTAATTTTTAATTATTCGAATTCATCTTGTAGACATATCATCTTGATCGCTGATGAAATGATATTCCGGTAATGAAATATTCAGTAAGTATCACGTTTCATTAATCACTCTCAATTAGAGAGTAATGCAATTAATTAGGAAGCAATACTTTATTTTTATTGTGCGCAATTAAAGATGCTAATGATAAGATTTACCGAAATTGCAGTTTTTGCATTACTTCTGTTAACTCTTTATCTTGTATCATTTATATTTTCGCCGTAAATGTGAAAATAATTCTGTTTTACGTCACGTTAAAAAGATTAATATCCACATGGGGATACAACACGAGAATAAGCGGCAGAACGATGCCATTTACGTCTTTTTAGCTCCTTCGAGTGTGAGGAAACGTTAAAAAATTTCTCTCTCCGGGCACGTGAGAATTCTCCGAAGTAATCATTTAACAAGAATGATCATAAGGATTAATTACGCAAGAAAGACAACATTCTCGAGCGCCTTATCTTTGCTTCTCCTGCTCTGTTGCATCGCTAATATATACTCTTTTATCTTTGTTGCCTTTGAATACAAGTATTGATCGGTCGCATGATATTCAGTCGAGAATATCGTAGGAGAGAGAGAAAGAATCGTGGATGTAAATGACAGACGATTTACGACCCGTACTTTATTAAAGAAGTTATCAGTCTCTTTGGCAGTCACGATAAAAGATTTCAAGTGAAATCAGGTTAATATCGAAGCATCACTCATGATTGAGATGCCGATCATTGTCGGGACGCTTAGTGCACAATGGCACTGTCCGATATTTAATCCATGTGGAAATCGACCAGCAGTCGATTCGTCCGTTTTCGCGTTATCATCGCATGTTACTAGACTGATATTCAAGAACATCTTTTACAAGAATAATAAATCTATTAAGCAAAGTGTGTCTTTTTATTTTTTTCTCTTATCATTTTTATTCTTATCATATTATATATTATATATGAACACCTTCGCACATGTAGGACGAAATGCGTCCGATAAATTCGAATAAAGAACAAATTAAATGCAAACGAAGAAATTTTTGTTTTAATTTACCCTGAAAATATGGTAATTGTAGTACAATATAATATATTTTAAAGATTTTTACTTATGCACTTCAATAAAATTAAACAAACTTATTTTATATTTTATTATAATTTTATTAATAAATAAGAAAAATTTATATAAAAAATTCTTCGAAATACAATGTTGTCCCAGAAATACTTTTTAGGATAAATTTTAAGAAAAAATTCTGCACATTCACTCATAATAACGCTGCAATTTACATTTTTATATACAAAAACAGAACAGAATGAATAGATAAAAAGCACGTTCCTGAAATCGTATTAAGTTTCCGGCATTTTTTCTTGGTATTTCTTCTTGCAGGAATTATTCGCGTCTCTATTCTTGAAATAATAATTCAAGATTAATGATACGTTATAGATTCGTAAGAAAAAAATAAAATAAGATGTTTTATGCGTTTTATTTTAGGCGTATCATTTAATTACGGATGTCTTCAAAAGAAGTATCGATAATTATGTGTAGTTTTGATAAAAATCTATTAGCTTAGGTGTCATTCTCATCTTTTTCATAAATTAACTAATTACACGAGGCGCATGCTTTCTGACGCGTAACCAACTAACTTTAATTAAATTTTATATTTATAACTTTTTGATAGGAACAAATGTTCGTGACATTTTCCTCGATCAATATAATTAAATGATTGAATTAATAAGAAAGGTACGTGTATTCTCTATTATTATTAATTGTAAAACGTCAGGAAAGGGCTAATGAGAGTGCACGGAAAAAAAATTAATTCGGTGGTACAGCAAACCTATAATTTACGCGAATTCAACATCGATAGCTATAAGAAGATTTGATGGTTTAAAAAATCGCTAATGTTATTCAACTGTCAACTTTACTACTGGTATTTTAACATAGAAAATTGACTGTCTATATATTACGACTATAGATTTGCTGAATCAGTGAAGTTTTCAGTGTTTTTTTCCGTATGTAAATGTTGTAAATGTTGCGTAATACAAAGTAATATAAAGATATTTTTTATTTGATTTATTTGATTGATCACTGTCCTGTATATGTAGGAAGAACCGAGATCAAATTTAGAATCCCAGGAAAAATCAAAGGTCTTCCGAGAGGCGAAGTATCGAAAACAGGCATTTTATCAATTTTTTAACGATTTTTTTAACTTCGAGCATGAGTCACTTTTTGACAAAAGAGAGAACTTTAGAACCTCGTAAGAACGTTCGAAAGGATCTGTTCTTTTCACGCCTGAAATTCTCGCGTATTATCAAATAAGATGTGGTTTTTAGTTTCATGCGACTCGTCATCGACGCAAATACTCCATTTGAATTTTTATCATCTCTCGTAAGACATTTTCACAGGCGAAAACTTTTACGACAGTACAGCGCAACGAAGAGTCTAACGAACAAGCGAACAACGAGTCTACACGTTCGTTTACGAGTGATTTAGTAGGAAATCCCATGAAATCTTTTGTCAAACGCATAATGGTGGATAACCTGTTTAATGTTTAACCATATCATCGCCGGATTTAGTATCGAGTTGTTCTCCTTCGTACGAGCAGCGCGAGTTTACGGGGGAAACTTCATTCAAGGAAGTCCAAGGAAACTTCAAGCAAGAAATTCGGCGAACATACATAGGTCATCTATGCGGAAGATGCGACGTTGTAATTATAAATTATTAAGAATGATGCTGTATGTCAAAGAAAAATAAATCGTAAATCAAAGCAAAGACAATGGATTTTTGCAAGATAAAACTGTAATACTCCAAGTAACAAGCATAATCTAATAAGAATATAATTTACCCTTTTATTCGAAACTTTATAATACGTGGAGGCGTCAACTTACTTGCGCGATGATATTCTATAATCTATCTTTTTATCACTCGAGTAGTCATAGTTTTCTCGTGAACAGCGAAACATTTAATGTGTCACGTAATAATTTTTGCGATAATACTATTTTATACGAATTTTATGATTATATTCTATTAAAGAACATCGAATAAAAAAGATTAACTGCCACAAATTAGGTTTAGCAACTAATTCAATAGCATTATATGAATACCTAATGTCGTGTCTGCAAAGTCTAATTTCCATTAGCTTAAATATTATCATTATAACAGACAAGCATTTTGCTATTATGTCGATATATTGATCATTGTAGCAAACATTTTCTATGTAATAGACAATTTGGTAGCAGGTACTGTTTCAGCAAATCATATTTAGCTGTATAGAGACAATTTTCTTTTACACGGACATATCCGACTATGACAACTAATTTCATGTTGCTAAATAAATTGATTTGTAACAGACGTACATACGTTGCTATTACGCCTTTATATTAGCTATAGCAGCAAATTTTCTGTATGTATTAGCAAATTTTATAACTATAGTAGCTAATTTCATAGCTAATGCAATTTCAGCTAATCAGAATTAGTTGTAGCCAGAAATATTTTTTTTCCGTGAAGTCATATGGCATTATAATATATAGGAGAAAATTAATAATTTGTGTATTATTATTATTATGATGTATATATAATTAATTATAATTATAAATTACTCATAATTCTTTTAAAAGATAATTTTTTATGATTGTCCTTTTTAGAAACAATTCCCTTATATTTCTGTTGGAGAATAGCTG